TTCTTTTACCTGATGTTCTTTCGTTCTTTTTCTTTTACCTGAGTGATGAAATTTTCACGAGATTCTCAAAGGTTTTCCCTTGCTTCTTGGTCTGCAAAAAACACAAATATTCTAGAACTTTTAAAAACTTTCAAACGTTCATTTATTCGTTCAAACGATCACATTTCAATAGTTTGATCTTAAATTCTCCATTTTTACACATGAAAGCGCACAAATTCTCCATTTTTCCCGCTGAATCACTTTCAAAAGAAATAATGGAAAAATATTCTCAATGAATTTGAAGCACAGAAATTTTATGTTACGTAGATTTGTGGTGAATAAAAAAATGAGTGTTTTAATCCCTATTTTTCTCAAAATAAATTTTGAATGACAAATTTTGAAATGAAACTTAAAAATGAATAATTCTCTTAAATCATTGTAGCTAATTGATTGTGAATAGTTTCATTTAAATGAGTTTTCATGAATTTAAAGGAATTTTCATGAATTTAAAGGAATTTTCATGAATTTCTATCAATTTCTATCAATTTCAATCAATTTCAATCAATTTCTATCGATTTCAATCACTTTCAATCAATTTCAATCAATTTCAATCAATTTCTATCAATTTCTATCAATTTCTATCAATTTCTATCAATTTCTATCGATTTCATTATCTTCTAGACATCTTGAGCTATTTTTGAAGTCGAATCAGGAATCACGATGACGAGAAAGGAAATCGAATGAATGTCACATCTTGTTACATCTTTCCTTTTCTTAATTCAAACCTCCTAGCTTTTCTTTCCATTGACCTTTCTGTGTATAGACTTATTTTCATGTCAATTATCTATTTGATCTCGGAGTTGAGATTCGAGAGAAACGCCTACGCGGGATACGGTAATTGGCATGAAGGAGCAGAGAACTTAACAGAATCGTTGAAAATCCTTAGATCATTTCTTTGATTCTGTTTACAAAATATATTTCTTATGGTTTCTTATCGTTCTTATGGTTCAAAATATGTGTTTATAATACACAAGCACTCCTAAATGTAAGAAAAAACATAAATATGGAAAAAAGAGGCAATAATCTAAGGGCGGGATTGAACCCTTGACCCCGTGACTAAGATACCAGGTTGTTAGCCAGTCGGCCACAGCGACATCGAGAGAGAATGGTCTCAGATGCTTTTACTAAAACACGATGCTTGTCGTTTTGATCGTGTATCCGGACATATCAATGAATAGGGAGAAACCCGTCTAACGGCGGGTTTTTCTGGATTTTCTGGGCAGCAACAGGTTTTGTCTCCGTGGAGCAGTAGGTAGCGCGTCGGTCTGTCGCCCATACGATCCAGGTTCGACCTCCGCGTGAGACTCGAATTTTGCTTTGGTGGAAAATCCAGACGCGCACGTTGCACAACTACATGTAATTCCCTATTCAACGACGCAAAAGTTATTACAAACGGTTCTCTGGGGGCTGAGGAGTAGCGCGCACAGACAGACAGGCGTCTTAGTTCCTTTATATATAGTAGATCTTTATCATAACAATAAATACCACCTTTATTAACTGATATATTTTTACCAAAATTATCAGATTTACCGACTGATGAAATGCGGAGATAAGATGTCGGATTTCTCGAATAGAAGGGTAGAGAATCATCAGGTAGCCTGGTAGCAGCCCTTTTTTCTTTTTAACGCATAAAAGTTAATGAAGTGCTAAGGAGTCCTGGAAAATGACTCCAAATACCACATGAGCTAACAGATTTTTGAGTCATTTTCCAGCTCTATAGCACTTGATTGAAAGCTTTTATGCAGAAAAGAGAACTTTAAAAGGGCTGCTACGCAGGAGTACGCGATGATACTCTTTACCCGGTCTTCTATTCGAAGAAATACGGTACACTAGAAACCTTTTACGGAACTGTTTTATAACTTATTCAAAAACAAATCGATATCATATTCTTATTTTTTCTTTAATAACAAAAGATTCAATCTTTTGACTTGTTTATTAACCAAATTAAGATTATTTTTTTTACAATCATTTACAATCGATTCTAATCGCTTCTATAGAACATAGCCAACAGAAAACTGATGATTCTTGCTCTTCAAGTTTATCGAGATCAGTTTCTCAATCAGATTCTCAATCAGATTCTCAATCTTTTCCGGGAAGAATATTTCAGGATGAATGAATAATTCCTTGCTCTCACTTTACAATTCACTTTTCATCTGACTAGAATGAGATGTGATTAGTTGCGTGAGTGGCTTTGAGGTGAGAAAGGAAGCTCGTGAAGGAGGAGAGGGATGGGGAGAGATGGGCGGGCCTTCTCCGCCCATCCCTCCCATTCTCCACTGAAATTCTTTATTCTTGAAGAGCTTCCACATCATCATCTTTCTTCCATTCATCTTCTTTGTTTATTCAAGGGTTTCATTTTTCTAAATTTCAAGTTCTCACACAAGTTTTGGTCAATTTTTCCCCCTACTTGCCTTGCTCGATCAAAACCCAACCTTTCTGGCATACTAGTCTTTATAAGCCGGCTATAGGAGCCATATTATATCGGAATACCTACAGTAATTCAATAATATGACCTACAGTACTATCAGAATACGTACAGTACTCCAATAGTATCTACAGTACCCTTGGCTGCACTGTAGGTGACCTTATAACCAACCCGTTCATTTCCTACTTGGCCTTTTCGAGTCAATCGTGTGCTTTGTATGAAAATGGAATTCACTGCACCAGAAGAGGTGCTTTTCAATTGTCAAAGCACACGCCAAAGTGTCAAAGCCACAAGTAGCCTCACGAGTATCGTAACCCCAAAATCGTTTGAATTTTGATTGACGGTAATAAAAAGTTGTGCAATTAGTTAAAATCTTGCTTATAGCCTTACAAGTAAACAAAAACAAAACCCTCTGAAACATCACTTTTATTTTGTGCCCTGGACTTGAACGATGAGAATCAAAATTCCCCAAATTCCCCCATAAAATATTCAAAAATTTCTCCCACTTTTCATTTTTGATTATGGCAAATCTTTGATTCTCAGGGTTCTTTCATTTTCTTTTTAAATTACTTTTCTAAAGATCCAATAATTCCCTAGCTCTTCTTTTTCCAAAAAGGATCATTCTTTCACACAAAGCCATTCTCAGCTTAAATCCAATTTTTCGAAAAGATTTTTTGAGCAAATTTGAAGTAGGATCCAATTTGCTTATAATTTTTTAGGATAAATGGCAAGCAAGTGATTTTGTGGTGTTTTTGGGGAAATAAAACTTTGACGATCAAATTATGGAGGGGAGGAAGACGTCAACGGTTATGGGGGAGTGATTGGAGAAGGAAATGAGGAAAGCTATAGCTTTTGAACATTAGCTGCGAAGTTCTTTACTGAATTTTAAATCCCTGGCTAGTGCAGGAGTTGTTGTTTCTCTGTAATGGGTCAGAAAATTTAAGTTCATGTGCCATAAGATAAGCCAGGGTTATTCTTGTAAGCGAAAAGCCAGGTCAAGGTCAAGCCGGGCCAGTTCAGGTCACACTAGACCATGAAAAGCTACAAGTTTTTTCAAAATTTATTTTGAAAGTTTTTTTAAGCGCTTTCACATGGTCAGTGCTGGCCTTTATGGGCCTGGTGTGGTCTCCAAAATCTTAAACTATTTTAGGCCTAGTTCAGAGCAATCTATGATCTATGAAAAGTTGGAGGACTTAAGTATGGCCCGGCCTCGACTCGCCTGGAATAGACAGACCATGGGTATAAGCTGATTGTGAAGCTAAAGCTGTGAAGCTAAAGCTGTGAAGCTAAAGCTGTGAAGCTAAAGCTGTGAAGCTAAAGCTGTGAAGCTAAAGCTGTGAAGCTAAAGCTGTGAAGCTAAAGCTGTGAAGCTAAAGCTGTGAAGCTAAAGCTGTGAAGCTAAAGCTGTGAAGCTAAAGCTGTGAAGCTAAAGCTGTGAAGCTAAAGCTGTGAAGCTAAAGCTGTGAAGCTAAAGCTGTGAAGCTAAAGCTGTGAAGCTAAAGCTGTGAAGCTAAAGCTGTGAAGCTAGAGCTGTGAAGCTAGAGCTGTGAAGCTAGAGCTGTGAAGCTAGAGCTGTGAAGCTAAAGCTGTGAAGCTAGAGCTGTGAAGCTAAAGCTGTGAAGCTAGAGCTGTGAAGCTAAAGCTGTGAAGCTAAAGCTGTGAAGCTAAAGCTGTGAAGCTAGAGCTGTGAAGCTAGAGCTGTGAAGCTAGAGCTGTGAAGCTAGAGCTGTGAAGCTAGAGCTGTGAAGCTAGAGCTGTGAAGCTAAAGCTGTGAAGCTAGAGCTGTGAAGCTAGAGCTGTGAAGCTAAAGCTGTGAAGCTAAAGCTGTGAAGCTAAAGCTGTGAAGCTAGAGCTGTGAAGCTAGAGCTGTGAAGCTAGAGCTGTGAAGCTAAAGCTGTGAAGCTAGAGCTGTGAAGCTAGAGCTGTGAAGCTAGAGCTGTGAAGCTAGATGCTTTAAGCGCAACACTATATGCCACATCCTGTGCTATCATATTTTTCTCTTAAAAGACTCTAGGTTGAAAAAGTGTTGAATGTTTTTCACTGCTTTCTGATCGCTAATCCCCCCGCCCCGCTAGAAGTAATCTTTAATTTCTAGCAATTTTTTTATCATGAAAAAACATAATAAATCCCATCCAGATCCCTCTCTTCGGCACTCATTTCACCCAATGATCTTTTTCCTTTTAATCCCAGAGTATCGGATCCAAAACACCATTGACCATCAACAAAAGAAGTTGAATTTTGTCTTAATAAGTATTTAAAAGTTTATTGGTTATTGGAAAGGTTATTGGAAAGGTTATTTGAATTTATTATTGGTTTATTAAAGTTTAAAAAGCATTTGTTTATTTTTGGAGATCTTTTGGAGTCTTTTCAGAGTTTTATGAGAATTTTGTAACCATCAGAATCAAAATTTCTTTTTGTAAATGATAATCTGAAAATTCTACATTTCTTTTCGATTGCTTTACTTTTTTTTGTTTAGAATCTAAATGAAAATTCTTTCAGTGGGTCCCCAGATACGTACGAAAAAATACAAGAGAGTATGAATTCGACACTCGTCTTCCTTTTGTGCACACTTGCCGCCGCCGTTCTCGCTCAACAGGTAAATCGACGTTTTCTAAATCGAGCCAATTTCTTTTCTGTGTTCGTTTCTTTTTTGAAAAGCGTTTACTATTTTGTAAACTACCGTAATCCTGTCTCGAGTTTTTATCGTAGTCAAGTAACTTGTTTGTAAGTAACTTGTTTTCTAAATCTTGTCATCTTTCGTGTCAGCTTTCGGAATCTATCGTAGTCTTGTCTCTTAACTAATGTATCTATATTCTAACTAATATATATATATATATATATTCTAGCTAATGTATCTATATTCTAGCTAATGTATCTATATTCTAACTTAACTAAATGTATCTATATTCGGTATGATTTGGAAGGGTATAACTGCTTAAAAATAAAAAATTTCAGCTAACAGACGAAGATCCATCAGCTGAGAAACGAATGCGCTCATTCGCTTTCGCCAAGAGAAGTCCGATGAGGTAAAAAGGGAAAATAATAAAGATTTATTAAAGAGAAATTTTCTTCAAACTTCAAAAAAAGAGATTTTAAATTTCTAGATTTGCATTCGCAAAGCGATCCCCAGTTGATGAGGATGATGAGGAGATCGACGAGGAAAAGAGGGCACTTCGAGGTTTCGCAAAAAGGTAAATGATTGTTATTGAATCATTGCTCAAAGAGGCTTATTTTATCAATATCAATAATTCTAAAATTGAAATCCGTCAACCTTCCAGGGAATCTATTCATTGTGAATCTAGATTGAAACTTGAATCTTATTAGGTTGTAAACTAATTTTGTAAACCGGACTTTCGCAAAAAAAAAAGCGCAAGACGCAAAAAGCAATGAATAGATTCATTGTGAATGGATTCAATGAATAGATTCATTCTAATTCGAAAGGTATCACTTTTATCAATAACTTGTTCCCATCTTCGGCACAAATCCCTAATTCCATGCTTCAAAAAACTGAGGAGTCTTAGAAGGGAATGGCCAGAAGGGAATGGCCAGAAGGGAATGGCCAGAAGAGAATGGTCAGAAGGGAATGGCCAGAAGGGAATGGCCAGAAGGGAATGGCCAGAAGGAATGGCCAGAAGGGAATGGCCAGAAGGGAATTCTCGTTGTAGAGTTAGGCAGCTAATTTTTTTTGTTCATTTTCATCAATATCCATGATGAGATCTATCGAATGAGGTAACACTCATCTCAAACGGTCACATTCACTTCTGGCCATTCACTTGTTAGATGAAAAAGTAGATGTTGAGTGCTTTTATGACTTGAGCATGACCATCAAACTTTTCTTCCTCCAAGAAGTGTTTCAAGAGAAAGAAGTCAGACGGGGCTAAGTCAAAACTTTCCAAATGAGCTCATCGAGTTTTCGGTGAATCCCTCTATAGTCTATAGTTCTCCCTTACGTCAGAAAATTGGTGCTTCTCTTATTGGCTCTTTTGAGAGGAGCGCAAACGCAAAAGTCCGGTTATTTAGTTTACAACCTAATTATAAAGTTTGTTCACTCTCAATAGACCTTTTAATCAAACTTGAGCACAATTTTCCGGGTTGACGTCAAACGATCTAAACTTACACGTGAAAAAGTTAAGCAATATCCATTATGCAAGCTCTTTTCCTTTTCTCCCCGAAAAATCACGGACTCGTTGATCTCGTTCCGATGTATGCAAATTGGTCAAAGGGGAGGGCTCTTGAGGAAGGAAGTTACTCGAATCATTTAAGAGTTTAATTTCCCACTTCTAAGAAAGTACTAGACTTGAACGATTGCTAAAGTAACAATAAAATAAAATTTATATTTATTATTTATATTTATAATTTATACATTATAAAATAAAATTTCAGATGGCCAGCCCGTCAATTCGCTTTCGCCAAGCGAGCCTACAATCGATTTGCTTTCGCTAAACGAGGCGGATTCAACCGATTCGCCTTCGCTTAGAGTGTAGAATTGAGTTGTATGACACCAAAAGTTGTAATTTCTTGCTCTTATTGTTTTCTTTTGCATGCGTATCACTCGATCCTCGGCTAGGCTTCGTTGGGAATTGTGGTTGTTTTGATTTTGTGGCGAATTAGTAAATTGTGATCCTAATCTCTTTAAACACCAAAAAAAATAATGTTTTATTATTCGGACGAGACGAGAAATAAAACAAAGGCAGTACCTTGACGACATTTCAAAAACAACCAAAAGCTTGCCACTCATCAAGGTACGATAAAACCTATAAACAAAACCATGCTCCTAGCAAAAACCCGATATCAAGAATATTCACGTAGCGCGAAAAGTAGAAAACAATTGAGACACCAAAAACAACAATTCCACACAAATGAAAACCCGTAACAATGAACCAATTTCAGAAAAGGAAACGTTGACCTGCATGAATTATAATGTAGTGGATAATATTGAGCGGAAGGAGCTTGAAAGCAAGTCGGAGAATGGCAATCATAGTGCGTATAAAAGAAAGGCAGTATCCAAAAAATGTTGAAAGCGCGATAAAAAATGTAAAAACAATCGTTACGAGAATTTTAGGGCTAGATGAAAAAGCGGATTTGGACAAGGCCAATCGCATAAGGTTGAATTCATAAAAATTAAGCATGAACGAGGGGTTAGTAGCTACAAGATAGAACTAATGAGAAAAAAACTAACAGGCAGTCGAGATAATTCCAGAACGTTGATTGGACGAAGTAGGAGAATTTCTATCACCGTCCTGTGGCTCAAGCGGTGGTGTTCGAACGCGGAATGAGTGCTCGTTCACAATGTTCTTCATCTCTTGTAGAATATCGACAAATTTCGTTTGCAGGAATGGCGTAGATCCTAAAAAGCAGGTATAATTGTCAATTTCAGCCTTGCAGTTGCTCAGAACTTTAAACCCCAAAATAATTTCAAGATCCGCATAAAATAAATATTACTGGATTGAATATTGAACAACTTAAAAAGACTTTAACAACTAACCCAAATTCATCGAATCCTCCAATCGATATGTAGCCATATGTTTGCTCTCGTCAATCAACGTGAAGAGCATCGAGTTTCGTCCATCAAACGGACAAATTCCTTGGGTTGGCGGCGTCAATATAACTTTTACGTGACGATTGGTGAAGTTGACCTGAATCGACTATTATAAAAGCTCGCGAGCAAGACTCATACCTGGACTGTTCCATTTGATAACAACATGAAGACAAAGTTATCCCTTTTCGTTTCATAGGCAAGATAGGGCAACTCTCCGTTCGGCATCATTTGTCTTTTCCAAGAGTCTCGAATACTAAAAACAAAGTGATTAATGAATTTGTCGGATGATGGTTTGGCTAACTAAAAACGTGCAAAACTAAAACTACAAAAAGGCCACACAAAACTAAGCGTACCCGTTTTCTTCACTATAATTTTGTTGTACGTCGTGCCTATACAAAAATCTCATTAGAACAGTTTTCAGATTTTACAAGATGTTAAGCACTTACAGGTCATCATTAACGGATGCTCCGGTCAATTCCTTCTCCATGTATGATCGATAAACATTTGCAATGCGAACTTTCTCAAAAATGTCCGAAGATGCCGATTTCACATTATGTTGTCTGATATTTGAAGAGAAAGTTTTGTCGCCATAGCGCGCCATTGTGAAATCATCGCTAAAATAAGTTTGAAAAGAAAAGTTTAAATTAAATACCTAACAGCAATCAAGCTATCATCATTGAAATGCACGGAGACAGTCCCATCCGAGAGAATACACCCGAAGCCGTACTTATTCGTGTAATCAACCCATTTCGAAACATAGAGAAGAGGAACTAAAATAAACATTGATTTACTAAAAGATGCAAAAAACCAACCAAATGGAATTTCAACCAAGTAGGAACTTTGCTTGAGAAGCAGATTCAACGTGTGCACGTAAAGTTCAAGCCTTGAAGCAATGCTATTCCGAGGACTGAGCAAATGAGGGTCAGAGCCAAGTCCCGAATCGTGGAAAGAAGTTAGACGCGGAGCCATTACCTACAATGAGATCATAAATATATTGCACACAACACAAATCCTACCCCAATCGATCCCATTTCATTTGCATATGCGGTTGAAGGGCGTTGATCTTCATAAGGGTCCGAATCAGCGTATTCGATTGCATTCACATCATGTGTTTGCGGAGCATAAGCCGGGGAGTACCAATGCCAGCGATCCGGCTGATGTGGACTAATTGCTTGTCGTCCATTGCAGTCGTGACGAGCTCCGTTTTGTTGCACTCTAGAACCAAAAGTTTAAACCTTAGCAACATGATTTTACCTCTGAGAATTCAAAGACAACGATGATAGAGCATTCGAATTTTGATCTACTATATCGCTTTGTTCATTTTCCACGTATTGTTGATAGTAGAGAGATGTTTTGATTCCGGCAACGGTTTCCCTATTTGCGGGATCAATTCTGAGCAGTCTAAAGTTTAATAGGTGCTAAAACAATTTGAAAAAGAAAACATACCTATTTACAAGCATCACAGCTCTTTGTTCGACATTGTTCTTTCCATCGATCGTTGGCCATGAAAATTCGCCTCTCATAATACGATTGTAGGTTTTTTGGAGGTTATCTAAAAAGAAAAGAGATATGATAAACAACATTTTGAAATACCAGTTTCAAATGGAGGTCTTCCGATGAGCATGCAGTAGAGAATACATCCAATTGCCCATGCTTCTGATGCTTCGGAATGGCCTCGACGGTGAAGGACTTCAGGTGCAAGATAATTCGGCGTTCCAGAAATACTAGATAGTCCAGAAGCACTTCGATTTGAATGACCACCCTTAGAGACCGCCAAGCCAAAATCGCCCAGTTTCACGTGACTGAATCTTTGATTAAAACAAAACTTGTAGTCAACACTGACTTTCCATCCAGGAAAATATTTCCCGGCTTAAGGTCTCGATGTAGAATTCCTTTCGTGAAAAGATACAAAACGGCTTCCACAATTCCTCGTATGTAGATGAAGGACTCGTAAGAACTTAAGCAACCACCTGAGTTACAGTTAGTAAACGAAATGAATTTAAAGCAAAACCTCTTCCATTGTAGATCCGATTGAGGAGTGTTCCGTCAGGACATAACTCCAGCAAAATGTAGATGTTGAAATTATCTTGGAAATATCCACAAAGCTTTACGATGTTCGGATGGGAGCAACCACTAGATATTAAACATTATAGGGAACAATTTTTCTAGTTCAAACCCATGCAATTGAATCTCACGATGAAGCTTCTCATATGCTGATGTTCGACTGAGTCGTGATCGTTCAACCACCTAAACACTAGAAATTCGAAGACGGATCATCAAAAGCAAACCTTTACAGCATAGTATTCATCTCTCGTTCCTTCTTTCCTATATCGCCAAACAGCAGCAAAGCCACCCTAAAGAAAAGCGTACAATAAAACCAAGATCATAAACTCACTTTGCCAAGATATACGGGATTGAGATAGTTGACGTAGTTGTACGTGTCGCGAATGATCGGCGGTGGGAGGGCCGTCGGTGTTGATGGACGACTACTCTTGTGGGCTTCCGGCGGCGATGGAGAGACCTAAAATCAAGAAAATTAATTGAATTTAAACCCAAAACTAACCACGCGTCCGCCGCGCGCGACAAAATCCGGAAGTGACGGCAGGTCGGCGAATTTTTGTTGACAAATGCAATACACCGAATCTGTAAAAAGAAGCGATTAGTGAAAGTAATCAACGGATAAAACACAAAGTAGAAAGCATTGGTGAATGGGGTAAAAAAAATTGGAGGTTGGTTCTAAAATCAAAGTTTGCAAATGAAATGTTTCTATGCTAATTTCAAGTCTGGTTTAGACAAAACAGAAAGTTTCCAAAAGCGAACAATCGCGTAGAATCTTTTTTTATTCGACCACTAGAATCTGATAACGGAGATCGTTCACGGATAACACACACAATTTCTCTTTCCACCGACACCATGACTCAGACGTTTCACGGGTGATTGGGAAAAGATTTAAAGGACTGAAAGAAAATAAGCCTTCAAAATAAAAAACTTATTTTTGAAAGAAATAACAAAAAATTGAGCTATCTTTGGAACATTTTGGCGAAGAAAACAGGGAAATAAACATCAACAGTTTGTGTTATCAAAAAGAAATCACCAGCTGGCGAAGGAATATGTTTGGGTGTTTGCAGAGAATCGTAAAAATTTTGAATTTTTGGTGGATAAGTGGTCAAAGGTTAGTAGGAATTCGATTTTTGGTGAATGTTCTTAAGATCGATGTACATTGGCACAAGTTTAAGGCACTGAAACTGAAAAGAAGTTCTCCTTTTACTTGTTAGCAAAGCTTACGTTGCTGTCAAAGCGCGATTGGCAATAAAACGGTACGGCAATAAATAAAAGGGTGAAAGATCACATAAATTTTTAAATAAATCGTAATAGAATTCTTTTACGCTGTCTAATGGTCAGTCCAAATGTGAAAATGATCGCTGATCAAATTTTATCAGTTTGAAAAAAATGAAATACTAAAAAACTTTTGCGACTACGCGACTGTACGAGTCGGGTGGGGTACTATTACAGTATTTATTGTAGGTAAGTGCAAGGAGTGAGTTGTAGTCAATCTTTTTTGAATGGAATCTAAAGATACCTATTCAAATCTTCAAGATTTTACAGGTTAACTCAACTCAAGCCTCGTGCAATTGCCGGAAAACTTTTTGCAAAAAGAACAAAACTGAAGTTGAATGCGGTACTCGAAACTCTTGGAATGATCTAGGAAATTCAAAGAAAACCCTCGATAAAAGCGCGAAATCAATGAGTCAACACAGCTGATTTTCAAGATAGTTAAGGGGAAGTGGAAAAAAGGAAAGGGGATCGGTCGGTGTTCGTGACTCATTTCACCGTCCGACACAAGCGATTCATGAATTTTTTCTCAAGCATTTCCTAGTTGTGTTTTTACGTTTTCCCTCCCCCACCTTCACAACAACCCACTCATCGATCAGAAA